TAACACAAAAGCCTCCTAAGGGGCACTTGGTTGCTTTCATCTTGTGAGATCTGAAAGATCCCAAGTTTGTAAGTCCCCACGTGAGCCCCACCCACAGGAAGCCAGTGGTGAAGGCTCTTCCCCTCCTCTCAGTAAGGCGTTTCAAGAAACTGAGAGATGGTTCTCAGAAACGACTGTGATTTTATCCTGAGTGCTCCGTGTGAACATTTCCGAGATTTCTGGGTTTTCCGTGAATGATTTTAACCTTCTGGGAGAGCGCCTGGTGCTTCCTAGCCACCAAGCCGCCTTTCCAGTCCCAGATTTTAATGCATTTTATTTTATTTGTGTGTATGGTCTATCACATATGTGCATGTCCCCAAAGAAGACAGGAGAGCTGGGAATAGACTTAGAGAAATTGTTAGAAATTTTCTGAATCAAAACTTCTGTCTTGCCAGGTGGTGGTGGCGCACGCCTTTAATCCCAGTACTTGGGAGTCAGGTGGATCAAGGCCAGCCTGGTCTACAAGAGCTAGTTCCAGGACAGCTAGAACTGTTACACAGAGAAATCCTGTCTCAAAAAACCCAAAACAAAACAAACAAACAAAAAAAACTGTCTTCTGCTTGTAAAAAGTTCAACTCAGATGTTCAGGTTGGCCTCTTAGGTTGCTGGCCTTTCTGGGCCACCATGGGACGGAGCCCCACAATCCAGAGCAGAATTGGAGGGCTTTTAAAAGTCCATAAAGTATATGAAAATAGTCAGCTAGCAAGGAGCACATCTCACCAGGTCAAGTCCAGTTGAAAGGGAAGCCCCTGGCAACCCATAATAAGTTTAAGGAAGTGATCTCCGCCCCTTCTCTTTGGCTCTGACTCTTCAAGGTCAACCCTAGGCTACGCCTTTCCCGTGGGACTAGACTTCCAGTAGGCTCAGCTGTTGGCCTCATCTTGACAAACCAAGTAAGAAACCCCAGTGTCCCTGGCTGGAGTGCATGGGAGAGCACATGGCCTGCAGAAAAGACCTATCAAAGTAAGTCACCACCCGCTGTGGGACCTGAGCCCGTGATGAGGAAACAGCACCTGTCTAACTTTGGGGTCTTATTAGACCTCCTCACTAGAATGGGTCTCCTGGACCACTCTTTACCTGCAATGAACCTCAACTGCCACCTCCAGCCCTCCTGAGTGGATTCTGATAGGTCAGCTCTGCCGAAAGCTGGATAACCAAGAGGGTGGATGACAGCCCCTTTCAGTACCCATGCGTGTTTCCTAGCTGTTAACTACTGTGGCCAAAATTCCTTCCTTGGCAGAGAGTGAAGCAATGTCGGCCCCTCCTCTCAAGGTCCCAACCACAAACCCAAACCAAGGCATGCAGGAGTCTGGCAAAGTTTACTCTGGGGACCAGTTAATTTATTGGGTTTCCCTACAGAGTCTCAGGGAGGGGTGCTTACAGGGGGGGTGAACCTGCATCCCCCAACCAGCTACAGCTGGAAAGGCTTAGTGAACACCAGGCTCTGTGGAAGCCTCGTGCTCACTCACTCTGCAGCCCGTCATTGCCCCAGGAGAGCCATCTGGAGAGTTCATGTGGCTTTCTGAGACACACATTCGCCCTCAAGGGGAATATTCAAACTGATCTTGATAGAGTATTTCCTAGACTGGGCGTGTGAGCATTTCATGGCCTTACTGATTCCCCCCCCCATTAAGGTGTCTGTGCAGCTTTGTGCCACCATTACCAATGTATGCAGCGCCAAGGGTCAAACCCAGGGTCCTGGGCATGCTGGGACTACATTCTGCCAACCGGGCCACATTCCCCATACCATTTTCTTCAGTTCTGTATCTTCACCTTGCCCCACTCCATTCCACCTAAGCTCTCACACAGCACACTGCCCCCCCACCCAAGCGTGACCACTGCAGTGGGGCCTACAATTCCCACAGATCTACAGAAAATTTAATTCCCTTGTGCCTTCAAGAGAAAAAAATGCTTCTTAGCAGAGACTTCCAGCATCTGCTCCTTGTGGAGAGTCACCATCTGCTCCCTGCGTCATCTGGAGAGCGCAGGGCTGGGGTTAGGGGGACCTGGTCTCTTCACTCCCACCCACATAACCTGGCCACCAAGGAGCACATGACTTCTGAGTTGCTTTCCCAGCATTGTCTGAGTGGAGGCCTCTCCCTGGAGTGTCCTCTCCCTCCACCTACAAAGCGTCCACATGGGCTTTTCTTCAGTTTAGAACACTGGGATGACTGGGGCCCAGGTTTTTCTGGTCCAAGGCCCTTCTTAGTGTGGAACAGACTCAGTCTTGATAACCAAGAGTTCAGGGTGGCTCTCAGGATGCCACTGTCACCTCCACGATCCAGCGGACGCCTAAGTTGTGGGTCTTCCCAGGCCCACAATCCGGTAATGATGAGCGTTATGAACGCGACAGATACACGAGCCTCCTTCCAGAAATTTCAGGGCTTGGTATGGGAGAAACTTATTGACTAAAGCCTTTTGAGAAATTGCTAGTTCCTGGTCCTGGTTTTTTGTTTGCGTGTGTGTGTGTGTGTGTGTGTGTGTGTGTGTGTAAGTGAAACAGGGTCTCACTAGCCTCAAATTCGGAGAAATCGTCACCTCTTCCTTTCTAGTGTCAGGATTTTAGGAGTGAGCTACCATGCCCCTCAGACACTCCTACTTAATCATACTTAATCATTTAACCTTCCGCACTCTGTACCCCCGTTAATCACACGAGGTTTTCCTTTTAATGAAGAGGTTCCCGAAGCAAGATACATCAAGTGCAGTTTGAAAAAGTATTTATTTCAATTACAGTTTTCACTTTTAAAAAACAGTGGTTCCCCCCCCCAAAAAAAAAACATTGAAAAAACAAATTACACTACTCTGCCGAAAGAGCTTAGGCATCAACTTGCTGGTAACACGGGTAAAAAAACCTTAAAAACACTGTCTCGAAACAAAACACATAGCATTGAGGTATTCTGCGTAACGGATATGATCTCTAGCCAAGAAAGTCTCTGTCGTTCCAGCATGCTCCACGGTCCTAGTCCTTCCCCTGCACACTAGATCTCCATCTGAGCATACGTTCACAAAAATGACAATTTTCCTTAATAAGCATCAAGGTTGCCATAGAAACTCCTGGAACTGGTACTCAACCTCGCGAGGACTAGAGGCTGGAAAGACCTTTGGCAGACCCTCCCCAGCACCAGCCCTAGGACCTGAGCCAGCTGGTTAGCCACTTCCAGCCACAGCTGCACCATAGGCTGCAGCATGGGAAAGGTTCTTGGGGGTGACCCTGTAACCCTGAAGATAGGTTTCTCAGCACCTCCACCTGCAGCTGAGTGTGGGAATCCTCCCCAACTAGGTCAGGCATAAAAAGGAGGCAAGCCAGGCAGTCCTCAGACCTGCAGATCAAGGCCACAGCTGGCCTACCGTGCTGGGCTCTGCTCCCACTGGCTCCAGCCCAATTCCAGCGTGAACTTCACACCAGTTTCCTTTCTCCCAAGACACCAGGGACACAGCAAAGACTTGGTGTGAGCATACAGCCAGGTGAGAAACTGCAGAGACCACGCTCAAGGAGAGAAAGCATTCGGTCTCCAAGCGTCTCAGGTGCACAGCCCCTGCTACTCCCTTGAAATATCTTAAAGCTGTTTTACTAATGCTGTAAGAATCAAAGATCAGTTTAGAACTTGAGCCGGTCTGTGCTCTACTCTTCCCACCGTGCAGCGAAGCTCATGCTTATATGGCCGCCACATCTGCCTGCCTGATCCCCGACTGCGGGTGCCAAGTGACTCCAGTGACACAGATTACCTGTGTGTCTGAGCGAAGCCGGGGCTCAGATGAAACAGACTTCATTGACATTAGCTTATTAAAAGTCAAAAGGAAAAAGGGGGGAGGGCTAGCCTTTTATAATAATAGTGAAAGCAATAACAACTTGGGGATTAAAGCTACTTAGCTTTCGGAGATAATGAGTTATCTGGATTTCAATCTTCCACCAGCTTGTTCCGCCCGGCTTTGGTAACAGTGCGCGGGCAAAGTCAGGTGAAGAACTAAGCCTCGCGTGGGCTCAGTCGCCTGCTCCCTACAGATCGCTATTTCTAATGCTCCCTTTCACAGCGTTTTTGCTACTCTGGAGTCCCAGAAACTTAACAAAGGGGGGAAACATGAATACCTGCCTGGTTTTTGTCAGCTTACAAACCCTTTTCTAAGACAGCAACAGGCCCTGAAACACACAAAACCTGAAAAAGAGACTAAGTAGCGGCTTGGGGCTGTGGCACCTGGATCTGCAGGCGGAGAGCGCAAGCGCAGCCTCGGGGCTCCACCTCCTGTCCCCTGGGGGGGGGGCATTTTCTGAAAAGGTAAGCTCCTAGCAAGTATTGGGATCTGGTAAATGATTGCAAGGCTCACTTTAATCCCAGCACCACTGCGGTCTCCTGGGTGACCATCAGTGAAGGGAAAGTGACGAGGGTTCTGTGAAGGGAGGAAGGCCACGGTGGCAGTGAGGTCTAACAGGAAGTGGACACTCTTCTTTCCTAAGCCTGGCACGTATTCCTTCCCTGAAGCCGAGCACAGACTACTTCTACACTTTTTAAGACAGAAAACAAGACACAGAACGAAACTGAAGTCTTCTCTGTTACAGGAAACATTTTTCTCGATTTTCACTTGACTTGGCTTTTGTGCTAAACAAAGCTACTGTATCACCCCGCCATCCCCCACCCCACTATCATCTCCCACCTCCTGGGTGGTTCATACACCAGCACACAGTGAGTGGCCTCTTCCAGGGTCAAGAGAAAGGGGCAACAGTTTTCCTTCCTTGTTTGTTAATTTGTTTGTTTTGTTTTCCAAGACAAGGTTTCTCTGTGTAGCTCTGGCTGTCCTGGTACTCACTCTGTTAGAGGCTGGCCTTGAACTCAGAAAGATCCACCTGCCTCTGTACCCCAAATACTGGAATTAAAGGTGTGCGCTACCGCGCGGCTCAGACAACAGTTTTGTAAAAACAAAATGAAAATACATTCTTGCTAGTTAAGTTTTTCTTTTTTCATGAATATTGTCTTTCCCAGTAGCTCAGGTCCAGTTGAAACCAGTATGAGCAAGGCTGGAATAAAGCAGCTATACTCTCTGCCCTAGCAGAGGGACTCACTAACAGCACCCTCCCCTGGGAGAATAGCGGGGGACAGAAAACATGTTTCCAGAGGCTGTGTCCCCTAGACTACAAGGGGCACAGTGGAGACCCGTCCTTCCCCTTCCTTTCTGCGTCTCTTCTCCTGAAGTCCTGAGTTCAAATAAGAAAATAAAACTTCTGCAGTCAGCAGTGCCTAGAATTATCATTCACATCTGAAGCTTCTTACAAGAGATTAATATTATTCTGCTTAAACCACCAGGCCCTGAGAGATTCGTCACAAGCGGGACTCCAGCTGCTTTTCCAGCGGCTTTCCAGGTATTGAGAAGGAGAGTGGGCATGAGTTCCTCCCCAGCCTTAGCGGCCTAGGAAAAGAGAGGGCCAAAGGTGCTTGGATTTTAAGAGTTCAGCTAAAAGGTGGGTTGGGGGAGTGAGTCAGAGCTAGGCAATTAGGGCAACCTTTGGCACCCCTACCTGAGGCTATCCTGAGGGTGTGGAGGCCATGTCCTCATGGTGGCCTGCGTCCCTCACAACCCCTGCCTTCGGAGCATGTGCAGCACACAGTCCTGACCCCCCCGCACCTTCTGCAAGGCTCTCATGCGAAAGGGAAGCTGCAACCCACCCGCCACTCCCGGCCCAGGTGAGCAGGAGTGGCGGTGCTGACCTGACACCCGCTGCCAGGCCCCGTCCAGACAACTAGCTGTGGCATAAGCCGTCCCTATTGCCGGTGTCGTAAGGGCTCTGCAGGTCTCTGACACCCGGACAGCTGTCAGGCCTGGAGCTGTTGTGGGGCCCTGCTGAGGCGAGGAGAGGAACCAGCGTGAAGGCCGGCTTCAGCTGTCCCAAGGAATATGGCGGGGGAGAACTCGCCTTGCTTTCCCGCACAGCCGGTGACTTCCACGTCCTCTTGAGCCTTTATGCAAACACACAAAAACAAACAGACAGACATGAGCTCCTTCTCAGGTCAATGTCACGGTGAAAAACACCAGCAGCTGCTGTCTGCCCTGGTTGCTGGGTGTGCTTACAAATAGTCAGCTTACAAAAACGCTGACTATTCAGATCTCATATCATCACCAGAGGTGTCCTAACAAGACCGCATCTCACTGGCCCCATTTACAAAGGGAAAGACATGTGTGTTCCTCAATGCACTCCACGTGTTCCTCAATGCACTCCAAATGTCACCTGACGGCCGGGGATCAGCCCTGTGCCAGGTGTGAGGCACGCATCCTCAGTTCCCCATCCATTCACGCAAAAAAAAAAAAAAAAAAAAAGGAGAATATTCTTTCCGTGGGAAGGGAAAATGGAATTCGGTCCAACTAAGGCAGGCAGAGGGCAGCTCAGTCACAGCCGGCCATGAATGGCAGAAACAGGCTGTGTGGTCCCTGTACTCCGCTCTCCCCGTCTTGGGCAGTCAGGTTCCCATCCACCTCCACCCACCCCACCCCCAGGAGGGAGAGCCGTCGTGCCCGAGAAAGGCCCCACTGGGCACGTGTTGATTCATCTGACAGGAAAGTCGATGGTGGGCAGGAAGGAGATAGGCATCGCTCAGATCACAGCTCCTCAGCGTGCTGGCTGGGCCCCAGGCCAGACTCAGCAACCAAGAGAAAGTCAGCTGACAGCCTGAAGAACACTGGGCTGCAGATACCGATCTGATCTGCCAAGGTGGGGGTGGGGGGCTCCTTCCCAAGGGGCCTTTGCTAGGTGTGCTAGACCGGGACCTCCTCTTCTCCCTTTGACCTCCTTCTCTATGGCTGACCCCCCAAAGGGGGAGGAAGGTGAGCCCCCCTCAATTTCATTACATGCCAATTACCCAAGGAAGCGCTGTGAGGGAGGAGCGGAAGCCAACATCAAAAACAAGATCTGGGCATTTTCTTAGGCTTTCTGAACCAGCAGACTATTCTTGTTCTTGATATGATAGATGATTGACAGCTGGCTCTGAATCTGCCGTTGGCTCTTGGCCTGTTAGCCAAATGGCATAAACAATCTGCAGACTGTTGCAGTGGATGCAGGGAAAGAGCCCAGCAGGGCTGTAAAGGGAGAGCGCCCAGCGGCTGCTGAGGGCATTCTTTCTGTGAGAGGACACACCGCCTGCTGCCCCATGCACTGCAAAGCACTCGGCCCCTCTAACCCAGGAATTCACGCTCTGAGAAAATACCCTAAAAATGACTGGCGGTCTGAATAAGAACAGCCCCCATAGGCTCATATATTTGAATGCTTAGTCGCCAGAGAGTAGCACTATTTAAAAGGACTGAGAGGTGTGGCCTTGTTGGAGAAAGTATGCAGTCCCCAAGTGTTGACACACTCTGTTGACACACTCCTGTTTGATCTCAGGGTATAAAGCTGTCCCAACCCATCAGACCCTTGTCTTCTGCGCAGTCATTGGACAGTCTGCTCCCTACTTCCCTGGAAGTCACGGTTTGAGACCAGGCCTACAGCTCAGGCCAGAGCCCCTGCCTGGCCTTGGATTTGAACTCCAACACTAAAAACAAGGAAAGGAGGGAAGGATAAGAACAAGATCAATCCTGGGCTGTGTTAGCTGTCAGTCAAGCCGGCTCAGGGCCACTGTGAGGACCTCGAGAGCTAGCGTGTAGAGAACTTTCTGCCAAAAGTCCTCCTCTTCCTCCCTACCATGGCCACGTCAGTCCTTCCCTGTCAGGGACTGGCTTCCTCACTAGACAGTACCTATCCTTTCCCCTGCCTCCTGTAGCACCCAACCCAGGGCTCAGAGTAGCTGTATGTGTGTGTGTGCATGTGGTGGTATGTGTGGGGTGTGCGTGTGTGTTGTGTGTGTGTGCATGCATGCGTGCGTGCGTGCGTGTGCATGCATGGTGTGTGTGTGGGGGGGTGCTCATTTGCTAAATAAAGAAATGAGTGAGGTTCTGACAACCACAGGGCAGATGAGAGCTAAGACACAGAGGAGGACACACCCCCAGGACCCATCTCACCTCAGGATGATGAAGACACAGAGGAGCAACCCAAACACCAGGCTTCCTCCAGCCACCAGGAATGTGGGCAGCGATATCGAGGAAGAGTCTTGCCCTAGGGCTGTAGGGGTGAGGGGTAAGAAAGGGAAGGAGGTAGGGAAGGAGGGAAGGGAGGAGGGAAAATAAAGTCAGTCAGCGAGTACAGAAGCAGATGATGCTCTGGAAGGCAGCAAAACTGCCAGCTTGCGGACCAAGGCCAGCTCCTGGAGCCCCGTGCAGGCTCCTAGCATAATAATCACTCACAGGCTGAGACGGCTGAGCAGCCAACTCTCTGGCCATTTACTCTCAGAGTAACTTTCCTGGTGTCCTTGTATCGGCAGAGTGCTCTCGAGAGATATGTCTCTGAGGACTCCGTGGTGGTAGATCCACTAGGCTGGGTGGGCGAGGCACAAGGACTTCCATTCTCCACTGTCATCACTTCCCTATCCCCAACGTGGCATTCAAGCTCCAGACATGCCATGTCCTTTCTCCTGCAGGGCTCTCCCTGATCTCCCTTCCGCCCAGAATGTTCCGTCTCCCTTTGCTGAGCCCCTTTGCCGCCCAGTCCCTGGAAACCTTCCTGAGTCGAATGAGAGCCCACACTCTTGGCTGGGCCAGTGCAACTACGTGAACAAAGCCAGCAGCTCCCTAAGCAGGCTTCCTCCGCGGACCTTCCTCCGCGGTCTCTAGCAAGGACGTCCACAGTCTGCTCAGCCGGACTGCAGTTAGCTCACGGGCAGAGGCTTGCCTAGCATGCTCAAGGCCCTGCCTGGGTTCAGTCCTAAATGCTGCGTGGAGTTACGGAAGACAATGGAAGACTGTCGCTGCCTTTGCTCAGTGTCTGAGCGCTCGCTCTTCTGCACGCGGAGGAATACAGAGACACTAGCGCTTACCGGGGAGGCTTGTCGCTTTTACAGGCCGGTTGTACAGCTCCTCCTCCTCCTCCTCCTCATAGTCTTCGTCAGAGACCTAGGAGACGTGAGGTGACCATCATCAGCTGTTCGACAGCCATACACACTTCTGCAAAGCCACCACCTCTGTCTCCTGAGCCTCTCCGAGCCGATCTTTGTCAACCATCTACCTGTCGCTGGCACTGTTCGTGTGCCCCCTTCCCCATTCCAGGTGCCTGTCGCTCCGCCAAAGGCACAGAGGACGTGGTCGGTAAACAAAGCAGTTGTCCATGGGTCTGTTGCCAGGTGCCGTCCCAGCATCCCAACCCCACTCCCTGCTAGCTAGCTACATGATCCCTGAGTTCAGATAGGCTTAAGGTCTGCTTCTGGATCCAATTTTGAGACTTTACCCACACAGTGGAGAGGTTGGCCAGCCCTCAGCTACTATCGGTTCCTTAGGACCTGCCTGGAACTCTCTGGCCCACAAGGCAAGAACTCAGCTGCTTTTGCCCGTAAAGCCCCACATGGACAGCCCCCTGAAGACATCCCTGTGAAGCCAGCATGTGAGGCCCAGACCTCTGCCTCCTTCTCTGTGCTTTGGGGGGCAGAGGGACAAAGGCCCCAGCTCAGTATTGAGGGAATTAAGGACCACGCGAGGAGATAGAGCTGAGTGGGAAATTGGATTAGTAAAGGGATTTGTTAAGCAGCTTCAGACGTAATCCTCTTTCCAATACTTCATGATAGCAGGCTGCCACAGGGGAGGCCATGGATAAATTGAATCTGGTCTCAGACCGAGCCATCAGCGGTGTCCAAACAGCTCAGGATGAAACAGTAGCCACCAGAGCCAGGCAGATGGCGCCTTACAGCTTTGAGGGACAGGGAACTGGCCCACAGTCACACTCTGGAAGATCCAGCCGGCAGGAAACCAGATTCTGGCCTGGAGTAGTGCAGTCCTGGCCCTGCGGGGCAAGCTCACCTGTGTGGGGTTCTCCAGGATCCCTGTGGGAGTGCTCGGGGGCTCTGCAGGTACAAAGAAGGGCTGTGTTAGGGGTGACTCGTGGAATCCAGTCAGCTCAGCACAGAGCATGACAAAGAGCTCATCTGAACCCTAACACTCGGACCTGAGGAGTAATGTCTCAAGTTCAAGGCTCGTACTAGGAGACCCTGTCTCAAAAAAAAAAAAAAAAAAAAAAAAAAGAAAGAAAAGAAAAAAGAAAAAATCAAGGCAAGGTTTCTCTGTATAGCCTCAGCGGTCCTGGAACTTGCCCTGTAGACCCAGCTGGCCTAGAATTCACAGAGATCCACCTGACTCTGCCTCTCTAGTACTGGGATCAAAGGCGTGCACCACCACTGCTGAGAAACACAATGTCATCTTTAAAAAGCAGGATGCTGGGAATAAGGAATTATCCAACACTAGAGGACTAGCTATTTTATTATGATAGTCATTTAAGAGAGTAGCCTGAAGAAACCCTATTTTATGTTGCACAATGTAAATGGGTATCACAGCGTTCCATGTGCCCACGATGTGCCTGATTACTCTGCAGCTGCTAAAAATAAAACTTCAGGGTACATGCCTTTAAGCCCAGACCTTGGAAAATCAAAGCCAGACTGATCTACACAGAGCATCCCAGGCCAACCAGGACTTAAAAACAAAAACAAAAAAATAAAACTTCAAGGGGGCTGGAGAGGCAGCACAGAGGTTGAGAGCACCAGCTGCTCCTCCAGGGGACCCGGGTTTGATCCCAGCACCCACGTCAGCTCAACTACAACAGCTCAACCCGCAACAACTACAGGCTGCCTGAAGCTCTGGCTTCTGTGGGCACCGCAGACAGGTGGTGGACAGTCACAGGTGCCGGCAGAACACCCACAGACATAAAACAGAAATGAAAAAGTTAAAATGAGAAGAGATGAAATAAATCTTTAAAAATAAAACTTCAGAATGTATATTTTAGAAAAACGTTGAAGATATGATGTATTGTGTAGAAGGAAGACATGCTTTGATCCAAAGTTTCTAAGACTCATGTTTATATTATCATATATTACATATTACAATATACATGCAGGAAGGAAAAGGCCAGAAGGATACATATCACAAGATAAAGCACTATTAACAATTCCTTACAGTCAGTTTTTTGCAATAAAATATATGAAGGATCATGCCTGGGATGGGTGAAGGACACCCTGATCAGGAGGGGTGGGGACAGAGCGGCAGAGGTCACGCTCCCCTGGGAACTGCTTTATACAGAAATTGCTGACCCAAGAGCAAGCGCAGAATCAAGGCTGAGCTGGGACCCAAGGGACCTGGCTCTGACCCTGGGCAGCAATGGTGAAATGACTCAGATTTTCTTGTCGTCTCTTCTTTTTCCACCAAGAAGTTAAAAATATCACCAAGTATAAGACATCAAGCATCCCCAGCCAGGAATAGACTAACAAATCACTAAGGGGTGGAGGACAGGGTGAGCCTGTTTCTGCTCAGGAGAGAAATTTCAATGGCTCTGCCGTCTCCAAGGAGAGAAAACCACACAGCAACACTGGAGGTGTTGAAAAAGAACCCACTCACCCGCTTCCTTGTATAAAAAGGAAATGGGTTCAGAGAGAGAAAGCAATTTGTCTAAGTTCACACAGCAAGTTAACTCAAAAACGAACCTCAAACTGTGGCAAGGACTCAGTATCTCCTACCTGTGTGCACCTCCCAGCTGAGCCTAAGAAGAGCAGTTCAGCTGGGCGGTGCTGGGGCACACCTAAAATCTCAGCACCCCGGCAGGGGAAGGCAGATCTCTGAGTTCAAGGACAGCCTAGTCTACAAAGCCAGTTACAGGACAGCCTGAACTACAGAGAGAAACCCTGCCTGGAAAACAACAACTCAAAAACAAAAGGCTAAAACCAGGAGGGCAGCAGTAAACAGATAAATAGATCCAACCACTGATGGCCATCCAGCCCAAAGGTTCTCCAGGTCCAGGCAAGATCAACCTCACATGGAACCTCTCAGGCCCATCCGTCGGAACCCCGGGAATAAAGCCTCACCGAATCCCACCAGAGACTGTACATGTGTGATGCTTGATGTCTTATACTTGGTGAGACGGGGTCTCTCTATTGCCGACGATAGCTCGGAACGTATAACAGGCTGACCTCTGACCTTGAATTCCTGTTTTAGCTGGGATTACAGATGTGAACCACCACATCATTTCCTCTCCTGTTTGTTGTTGTTGTTTTTGGTTCTACTGTCCTGGAACCTACGATATAACTCAGGCCGACCGCAAGCTTGGATTGCTCCCCCTGCTCCGCCTCTGGGGTTGCGGAGGACACCATGCCTGGTGTTTTGTCATTGTTTGGATCTTTGAGACAGGGTCTCATTCTGAAGCCGAGGCTGGCCTGGAACTTGGAGCAATCTTTCCGTTTCAGCCTCTCAGGTGCTTAATTATAGGCGTGAGCCATCACACCTGGCTGGGATATTTAAAGATGGGGGTGGGCCGGAGAGATGGCTCAGCAGTTAAGAGCCCTTGCTGTACTTGCAGAGTTCCCAGTACCCACACAGCAGCCCCAAATCAGCTGTAAATCTAGTTCCAGGGAATCCAATGTGTTTTTTCTGACCTCGCTGGGCACCAGGCACCAATATGGCGCACATACATACATGCAGGCAAAATACTCATAAAATAAAATTTAAAAAATAGTACAGAGTGTGCCAGCAAGCCTGCTCAGTAAAAGCGCTAGTAATACAAGTCAGAAGACCCGAGTTCCAAATACAGAGCTGGGGAGGCGGAGGGGGGATAAATTCCTGGAAGTTGTCCTCTGACCTCTACATGTGTGCTGTGGCAAGCATGCCTACTCTCACATACACATCCTATACTAGAGGGAAAAACATTTTTTAAAAATTTAAAGATGGGAAAATTGAGGCAAGAAAAAGGAAACTAACTTTCTCAAAGTTAGTAGAAAGTGGCAAAGCTGTAATTTTTATATGTGTTCCTGTGTGTGTGTGTGTTTGCCTGTGTGTGTGTGTCCATGCAAGTGTGTAAAGGCCAGAAAACATCAAGCATCCTGTTCTCTCTCCTCCTGCTCCCTCCCTTCCCTGCTCTGCACTGTCTGCTTCCCTGGAGACAGCATCCCTCACTGAAAACCGGAGCTAGACTGACAGCCAGGTCCCCTTGTCTCTCCCAGCAAGCATCCCCATCTCCTCAGCTCCCAAAAAGACATTCAAACCAAGGCTGTTTAGCTCCAATAATGAACATTTTTTAAGGTTTTAAATGCCCACTTTGGATCTAGAGATGTAACTCAGATTGGCCCTCAGCACTGCTTGCGGGGGTGGGGGGGTGGCACTGGCCAGGACGCTCTGTAATCCTAGCACTGGGGAGGTTGGCGGCATGAGAAGAGAGGAAACAGCCGTGTGGTGCTGGCGCGCACCTTTAATCCTAGCACTCTGGAGGCAGAGGCAAGTGGATCTCTGTGAGTTTGAGGCCAGCCTGGTCTACAAGAGCTAGTTCCAGGACAGGCTCCAAAGCTACAGAGAAACCCTGTCTCGAAAAACAAAAAGCAGAAGTGAAAAACATGTCTTGGAGTCCTGGTGAAAGCCAGCACACAGCCGGCTCTTACTGCCGCTTTCCACGAGGCGCTGGGAGGCAGGTGCTCGGTTTGGGTCTGAGAGCTGGCTCTGTCCCTTGCTGGTACGACTTTGGGGAAGTACCTAGCTCAGCCCCAGTTAGATTATTTGTCACTCAGGAGTACTGACACCTGCCTGAGAAACCCAAACCAGCACCTGCCCTGAGCGCCTCGAGGCTCTAGTGCCGTGGAAAGCGGCAGTAAGAGCCGGCTGTGCGCTGTGCGCTGGCTTTCACCCAGGACTCCAAGACATCTTCCTCTCTTCTCATGCCGCCAACCTCCCCAGTGCTAGGAGTACAGAGCGTCCCAGCCAGTGCCCCCCCCCCCCCCAAGCAGTGCTGGGCCAATCTGAGTTACATCTCGAGATCCAAAGTGGGCATTTAAAACCTTTACAAATGGGGGTGGTGTAATTTAGACTCCCCTTCTCCATTTTCCTTGGTCAATTTTTGTTTCCTAATGCAGGGAAACTGAGGCAGTAGGCTTATAGCCTAAGAAGTGCCCCCCCCCCACGTGTCCTGAAGTACAAACCTCTGGCCTGTGTAGTTCCCTTCCTGGGGACTGTGACAGGGAGCACCTAAGGCTTCAGTGCAGCTCAGCCGCCAAGGAGCCTATGCACCGCAGGTGGGCCTCACTTCCCTCTCCAGCCTCTGTCTCATTTTACAAAACCAATTGCCAATTTCCAACCTAACCCCTCTGGTCTGAGAAGCACCCGAGCCCCTCCGCTGTACCCCCAGTGCAGGATGGCAGAGGCTTCTCTCTTAGACATACTGCCAGGTCAGAGTGGCTCCCCATTCCCGCCCAGGACGGGAGCTCAGTCTCTGGCTCGAGTGAGGAGGCATGGGCTCTGTGCAAGCTCACGGGGTCACCTGTGCTGGACCCCAAAGCTGGAAAGTCCAAGACCCAAAGCTGGCCAGGTGGTTTCCACCCCCGACATATCACTGGCCACCACCTTCCACCAGGGATTCAAGGCTAAGAGACTAAACAAGTGAAGAACCCCAAACCCTCCCAGGCACTCAATGGTCCGTGCGTGGGAGCAGCCCAAGCGGAGGCAGGTCGTCCAAGAACCCCAGGAGAGTTCAGAGAGCAGAGTGTCCAGGGAGCCTTCCTGCGGTTACTCCCCAGGGCAGAGTGAGATCAAACCAGGCCAATGCTGAGCTCACATAAGAAAGGCCTTTCTGCCTGAACAGACATTTCTCTAAAGGCGATAATAGTGGAGTGTGATGGTCGTGATTTAGTCTCTGTCTCAACAAAAGAAATCAGAAATGGCAACGACTAAAGAAAAATGGGCACTAGGTACACTAGGTACCTGTAGCCCTAAGCCCTAGCTACTAGAGAGGCTGAGACAAGAAGACAGTGGCCAGACTAGGAAATGCATGTGCATGCGCGCACATGTGCGTGCACACACACACACCCAAGAGAGAGAGAGAGATTTACATAGGTAGAACACAGTGTCAATAAGCTGAAGAGAAAATGGAAGGTTTTTAATCCCAGCTAATGGGAGGCAGAAGTAGGTGGATATCGCTATGATTTTTGAGGTCAGCCCGGTCTACATCGTGCATTCTAAGTCAGAAAGAGTTATACCCTGTCTCAAAAAGAGTGGGGGAACCATGGTGAACTCTCAAGGAACCTAAAGTGGAGCAGCCACTATAGAAAGCAGTGTGGCATTCCTCAAATGCTGCAAACAGAGTCGCGTGGACACAGTGAGGAAGCCCACATCTGGGCACATACACAGAAGAACTAAACTCCAGCGGTCAGTAGACTGTTCACAGCAGGTAAGTCACACACCACGTGTCCACTGTCAAACTCAGAGAAACAAGACACTCCCCAGTCTCTACCAGGAAGGAAAGGCTGACCCAGGCGACGGCTTGAGTGGACCTTGAAGGCACGGTGCTGAGCGAGATAAGTCAGACACAAGAGGTTTTCTATAACCCCGCTTATTTGAAGTGTTTAAAATAAATTCAGAAACAGAAAGTAGAATGAACATTGCTAGTAGCTAGGGAAGAGGAAGGGGAGTGGGAAGTGACCGTTTAAGGGCCTGGAATCTGAAGGTGGGTGGTGGAGACCGGTGGGCAGCCTTATGAATACATTTAACGTTATTGAACAACGGGTAAAATCAGGGCTGGCCTTGCAAGCCTGGGGACCTGAGTTCAATCCCCCAGAACCCATGTTAGAAAAAACCAAAACAAGCCAGGTGGTGGTGGCGCACACCTTTAATCCCAGCACCCAGGAGGCAGAGGCAGGCGGATCTTTGTGAGTTTAGAAGCCAGCCTGGTCTACAAGAGCTAGTTTCAGGATAGGCTCCAAGACTACAGAGAAACCCTGTCTCAAAAAAACAAAAAAAAAAAAGAAAGAAAGAAAAAGAAAAAAAACAAAACAAAACAGGTGTGGGGGCGTGCCTTGGGGTTAGGGGGATGGGGGCAGGAACATCCCAGGGGCTCTCTGCTCTGCCAGAAGAACTCACTCAGCAAGCATGGGGGCCAACGAGAAAAGTTATAGCAAAAAGAGACAGAGAGAGAGAGAGAGAGAGAGAGAGAGAGAGAGAGAGAGGGCGCAGTACATGAGGAAGAACACAGTAGGTTGACTTGTGGCCTCCAAACACACACAGTTATAATAACAAGGGGTGGGGGCGTGCGCCTGCAACCCCAGTGCGGAGGCCATGCAGAGCTAGAGTTCAGGACAGCCTGGCACACACGAGGCCCTACCTCAAAAATCTCCTGCAAGAGCTTCCAAAGTAAATTTTATGTCGTGCATATTGTGCCACAATCAAGAAAAAGCTGTGGGTTTTTGTTGTAGCTGTTTTGAAACAGGATCTCACTATGTAGATCAGGCTGGCCTCGAACTCACAGAGTGCCCCTGCCTCCACCACACCTAGCCAAATTTTTTTCTTTTTTTTTGAAGAAGCTGTTTGTGGACTGAGCCCAGGGATGTGAATCGGTGGCAGATATAAAGCCCTGGGCCTCCTAGCACAGCAAACAACACAACAGGGGTCAAGATTCTTAAAAATCATGTGTGCATGTATGCACGCGCATGTGTATGTGTGTGTACATACACGCATGTGTGTGCGTGTATGTGTGTGTGTGTGTGCGCGCGTGAGTGTGTGTGTGTGTGTGTCCATGCTGTGCAGAACCCAGAAGAGGGTGCTGGTGTTACAGGTGTTAGTCACCAGATGTGGGTGTTAGAAGTAAACTGGAATTCTCCAGAAAAGCAAATGCTTTATCCACTGAACAACCTCTCTAGTCCTCAAATAGGAAGTTTTGTTTTTTTTTCTCCCAGACAGGATTCTCTGTGTAGCCCTGGCTGTCCTGGAACTCACTCTGTACACCAGGCTGGCTTGGAACTCACAGAGATCACCTGCCTCCACCTCCCAAGTGCTGGGATTAAAGACATGCATCAACACACAGGGTCCAACCAGGAATTCCTGTATTTTTGGTTGAGAGCCTAGCCTTTAACGCCTGAGCCATCTCTCCAGCCTGCAAACAATAATTCTAGAGCTGCTTATGACTGTCTAAAGCTCATGACTGGGGCAGGGGGTGTAGTATAATCTATAGTGTCCTTGTCTAACATACACGAGGCCCTACGTTCAGCACCGTATGAACCAGGTGTGGGGAGATACACTTGTGATCCCAGCATTTCAGACATAGAAACAAGAAGTTCAATATCATCCTGAGCTACAAAGTGAGTTTAAGATTAACCTGGATATGAGACTGTCTGAAACGAAGTTGTTGAGACAGGAGGCAAACCGACTGTGGCCTGTACGGGAACGCCTTTGCACAGTGCCATAAGCCACACCCCTCACAAAGTGACTAAGACAATACTGTGCCCACATGTCAGGGCTGGGTGGTGAAGGCACACACCCTTAACCCAGCACTTAGAGGCAAAGGAAGGCGGATCTCTGTGAATTCAAGGCCAGCCTGGTCCACAGAGTGAGTTCCAGGGCGGACTCCAGAGCTACAGAGAGAAACCCTGTCGAGAAAAACAAAACAAACAAAAACCAAAACAAGCCAAAAAGGTGGGGTGGGGGTAGGGAGTGTTGTTGACCACGGTAGGAGGGTGGGAGCCATGGTTGGGAAATTGCTAATCGGTGACAATGAAGACAAGGATTTTCGGGCTAAAATGTAATCAGGACTAGTTTGGTTCAAGTATGCTACAGGATTGGGGAGATGTATACGCCCCCCCCCGAAAGTGAGCCCAGACCCATTCTAGATCAAATGCTGAAGACAAGGAGATGCCCTGCTACAGGGATGGTGAGCCATGCATCTCTGGGAAGTGACATCATAGAAGTAGGGTGATCTCTCTCTCTTTCTCTCTCTCTCTCTCTCTCTCTCTCTCTGGTTATAGTAATGGCGTTTGAGGCATGGCGTTAATAGGGACATTAGCAGACACAGAAGAACTCTAAATAGCACTGGTTCAGGAAAGCGGGAACCAGCTGACGGGCAGAATCATGAGTCCTTTCGAACTCTTTCCCATGGGCACGTACTAATTGATAAAAATCTCAGGAGATGGGAGTGGTGGCACTTGCCTGTAACCTCTCAAATTGGGAGGCTGAGTCTGAATTTGAGCCCAGTTTAGGTTACCTACTGAGTCCTGAAGCAAAGCCAATTGCTGATAGTGACTGTCTCCCTCGCGTCTTCCTGGAGTGGAAGCGTGCGTTAGGTCTGGCTAGGAAGCACAGGTGACCCTCACCTGCCGTGGGCTTGTCTTAAATACAGTGCAGTAGGCAGAGCTGAGGCCCCGCCTCTGCCTTAACCTCTTCAAATTATTACTGTTGTTTTTTCAGACAGGGTCTCACTATGCAGCTCTGGCTGTCCTGGAACTCACTCTGTAGACCAGGCTGGCCTGCTTCTACTTCCGAGTATTGGGATTAAAGGCGTGTACCAACATGCCTGACTTGGAATCATAATGTGATATTGCTGGGAAGTGGGAACAACCTGGAGAAAGCACTTCTGAGTACCCCCTTGACGGGGACATCCTGTCCTAGTCGGTTTCTCCTGCTTCCTGTTTCGGTGCCCGGAGGTCCACAGCTCGGGTCTGTCACACCTTCTCTGCCACTGTGTTCTGTCCCACCTCAGACCCAAAGCAATGGAACCAGCCAAGGGGCCCCAGTCCTCTGAAACCCTGAATCAAAAGAATTCTTTTTCCCTTAAGCTGATTTGTTCAGACTTTTGTCATAGCAGGGAGTGGGGACTCACATACATGCTTTGGGAGCTTTCAATAATTCCCCCAAAGCATTATCACCTTGTCATTTCCTAGAGATAAATAGTATCACACCTATAATTCTCTGGAGAGCCTCCCATCCTTCTGCCCTCACCCCCTGCTGCCGTCAACTGAGGCGCACCTACTAGGAAGGAAGGAGCACAAGGAGAAAAGGGCCAGACTCCGATGAGCGCCACCAACACCCAAGTGCAGCTAGACCCGGACCCCGGACCCTCCAGGTCTGAGAGCAGCTGCATTAGTGACGTGCAGACAAGCTGGCAGACTCGGGACTGCGGCACACGGAGTGACCCAGTGCTTGGGAGATGAAGGCCGGAGAATCAGAAATGTAGGGTTTTCTTGACCATATTGTAAGTTCTAGGACTGCCAGGACTAAATGAAGCACTCTCTCAACGAAATGAAATGAAGGGAGGCTGATCAGCATGGCCTGCCATATTAAACTCGTACGCTGAGACGCACACCAAGCTCCCTCCACACAGCCCCAGGTACCTACCTATCCAAGGAGTGCCAGTGGCCTCCGCAGACCATTCGCTCCACTGGCCAGTCTCAAGGTCCTCCTTCCCACGGAGCTGCACCGCGTGCTTCACTCCTCGCAAGGCATCATGGATGATGCACTGGTGCTGGGCCACCTGGAGCAGAGGACAGAAACACAATGAGTCCCAGCGGCCATAGTGGGGCAGCACCACAGGGGGAGAGCACCCTTGACCACCCTATGCTCCATTTGGCAGACAGGCTCACACCACCCGGGAGGCTCAGTGACATGGAACTGTCCTCAGCCACAGGCTGAAGTCACTGTGGGTTCCAGAACCCTACAAGCTGCAGCCTTGCTTTACATAGAGCCCAGCACAGTCCTCACGAGTAGACAGGTCAGGAGTCTGGCCTGTCATTATCAGCCTCATTTTACAAGGACACAGCCAAGACTATGAAGAATAGAAAGGTACAAAGTTAGACCCAGAACCCATTTCTTTTCATCTAGGGGGCATTTTTCTGTTTAGAAATAGTTTTGCTCTGGGCACTTTAGTAATTACAGCACTTAGGAGGTTAAGGGGGGAGCATTGTCATGAGTTCAAGGCTACTACAGGGTGAAACTCGTCTCCAAAAGAAGAGAATGAATTACCAGCCACACCGTGAACGTCTTTGACCACACAGGTCGGTATCGAAGCTCAAACTTCAACATGTAGTAACGTGAGTCCCAGGACTCAGGGTCTTGCCAGCTGACTTTGAGCCAGCGAGGCCTTCCAGGTATGGCGGACACCACAAGATTCACAGGGGGGTCAGGCCGCACTGTGGAGTGGGAACAGGGCTTCTAAGCAGCAGAAAGCATGGTACAGAAGAAACCCTCAAAGGCTCTGCAGACATACCACCCCCAGGCATACGGCATACACCACTCCCCAGAAATGTTTAAACTGTATTTATTGAGTGAAAATGGAACCTAGAGGCTTGCACCCAGTAAGGCAAGAACTCATTCAATGGATCACTCCTATGTTCACCCTGAGAAGACCCCATCCGTGTGTCAGCAATGCCCCTAAAGACCCAGTTCCCCCCTCTGCACACCGTCCCTGCCTCTCCCAGAGGTAGACAGAAGCAGCTGCGGGGATGGGACTTGCTTACCAATTTTTAAACTATGAAATGCCACGTTGCTGCTGGATCTGCTCCCGACACTGTTTGCAACGCACAGCGACACTACGTGGTAATTTCTGTCGCCCTCTAGGATTTCCACCTGGCAGGAGAAGCTTCTGGACTTCTGGGAATACTGGCAGGGCAACTGGAAGCCATTCTTCGGGTTGGTGGTGTTGCTGTGTGATACAACAGAAGGGGCACACACATGCTAGCAAGTTCTGTTCTTTCTCAAGAGAAGTAAGTCTGGCCCAGGGGTTGAAAGCTTGGAAGTGATGGTTGGCTTCCGGGCTTCACCTCAGCTGATGTCTGCTCCTATTAGTTTCTGGACAAGTTTTTCAACCCAAGTGTTTTTCTCCCTAGAAAATGAGCATGCTAAAGGCATCAACACCCGCCTCATCTGATACGGTCTAAGGCAGAGCTCAGCCAATGCAGGAGGGGTGAGGGGAGGGACCCTCTAGAGCGCACTCTGTGTCCGTCCCTGTCCACGTCCCGTGTCCGTTCCCCACCCCCCCCACCCCCACCCCCGTCAGTGTTTCAGGACCTCTGAGTTACTTCCTGGGTCTTGTCCTTCACACTATAAAGAAAACAGAATCTAAAAAAGAAAAAAAAAGAAGAAAAGTCCTTCCCTGTCCCAGGGCTCAAAAAATCTGCCCTCAGGTCATGCAGCAGGCTTTGGAGGTGTTCTCAGGTTACCAAAGCTCACAAAACAGAAGGGAGGAGATAGAATAAGAAAGAATTCTGAAGATTGAAGAAGGTCAAGGAAGGTCAGAGACCACCCTGCCTGACCTTCCACCCGAGACACCCCTCCCCCCACTTCCTCTTTCCCTGCCACCAGAAAACAAGTAACCAACTGAGACTCAGGTGAACCTTGTGACCACTCTTGCTGGTCACCACACTGGTTCTTCCACCTGTGCTGGGGGTTTCCCCAGGCCCTTCAGTGAGAGACCTGAGAGTGCCACGCCCTGCCCTGGCACACCACGGCTTCTGATGTCCGGCAGTAGAGCCACCTCCCAGGTGACTCTGTTCTGGTGCCTGCTCCCATCACTGCCTGCTCCCCATCACTGCTCCCCATCCCTGCTCCCCATCACTGCCTGCTCCCCATCCTGCTCCCCATCACTGCCTGCTCCCCATCACTGCCTGCTCCCCATCCCCATCACTGCTCCCATCACTGCCTGCTCCCCATCACTGCTCCCATCACTGCCTGCTCCCCATCCCCATCACTGCCTGCTCCCCATCCCTGCTCCCCATCACTGCTTGCTCCCCATCACTGCTCCCCATCACTGCCTGTTCCCCATCACTGCCTGTTCCCCATCACTGCCTGCTCCCCATCCTGCTCCCCATCACTGCTCCCCATCACTGCCTGCTCCCCATCACTGCTCCCCATCACTGCCTGCTCCCCATCACTGCCTGCTCCCCATCACTGCTCCCCATCACTGCCTGCTCCCCATCACTGCCCGCTCTTGCTACTCTTGTTGGGACCAGGCTTGGTAATCACAAACACTGACAACCAGGTGACTAAGAGCTCTGTGCGATTGCACAGGTAGCCTGGGCGGGACAGCAAGGGATTATATAAGGTTACTCAGAATGACACAACTTAAAACATGTATTTGTTTACTTCTGGAATTTCCACTTACTATTGTGGGGTCGTAGTTGACTGACGGCAACTGAGCCCACAGAAAGGACCATACTCTGAGCACTCAAGTTTTATTACAAATATCTGGATTTAACAGACTCGGCTCGGGTATGGAGATTACACTTCTACCTCCCTGGCTGAAGCCAGTTCAGGTCCCAACTTCCCGCCTGGGTGGGTAGCGCCCACCTCCCGCCCATGACCACTCCCTGCTTTCTGCCTTTAGAAGGCTCACAGGGTCAAGGCTTAGGTAGCAGCCTTCCATCCCACACCCTACCACCCCCACCCCCACCGGCCATTCGCACTTTCTTTAGGGAAATGCCCCAAACTTTGAATCTTGATGTAAATTGGGCAGCCCATCCTGAGACTGGGTCCTCTTCCTGACCACCAAGAACCACTTCCTAGCTAGACAACCTTAAGCAAATGAATCCATACCACTGAATCCCAGCACCCACTTCCCATAACTGAATGAAGACCATGTCCGGCAGAGGGCTCACTTCCGTCATTCCAGAGGGATTCTTTTATTTATTTTAAATTTTGGAGTAAGTGAGGATCAAAGACAAGGCCTTACACAGGTCATGTGACAGGTTTGGAATAACTTTCTACTGCTAAAACATTGGTCCTGGGGCTGGAGAGATCGTTCAGTGGTTAAAGGCACTTGTCACTCTTGCAGAGGACCCTGGATTCAACTCCTAGCACCCACATGGTGGTTCATCACATCCATCCATAACCCCAGTTCCACGGTGAAGAGTCCAAGAGAATAAGAAAATAAAAATGTAGATTCCAAAAATAAGAATGTAGAAATAAAGAAATATAAAGTTATAAGTCTAGGAGAATGAGAACAGAATGTCAGCAGCTTTCTCAGCAGATCAAGGATCAGTCATTCACAGTGAGCTATTTTCTCGGATGCTTGGGAAGCCTCCATCAGCCTAGGTCATTTCATTTTACAAGTGGCTGTTCTATTTACAAGGCCAGAGCTTCTCCCTGCAAACTGAGAGTAGTGTCCTGGCCAGTCTTGATAAACGACAGATGTGAACTGAGTTAACCGTTAGGAGACAGAGATGCTGACCTCTGGGTTAGACACTGTCTCTGTTATGGGAAACTGGCACCATCAAAGGGGAGGATGGGGCTTCAGTATACACTGCCTGGAGGAACCAGGAGTGACAGTGGACAAGGTAGAAACACAGGTTTGACTAATGAGCTCTGATAATGGAGGTTGTAAAGTATGGCAGTCAGTATCTGAGTTTTACCTTGAGATAGTGTGAAGAACTTCATGCTATCTTCTAAGTTCTCAGTTTAAGAACCAATCACTCTGATTTATCAACCCTCTGATATTACTAGCAGTCCCTTTATGACTAATTGCTAAAGACACCTTTTTTTTTTTTTTGCAATTAGTGACTTTCGCTGTAATCTACTCTAAAACGTATTTCATGATAGCTGCCTAGTTACCCATTGACATTAAAATTCACTCCCCTCCTTAGGGTCTCCGTTGACTGACCCACGGGTCAGGGCAAGATCATAAAAATTCCTTTGTTCAGAGCTAATGCTTGATGCCCTAACTATAAAAAGGTGGGTTCCGAAACTGGCCTTTTGCCACAGCCTAACAAACACCATCTCTGGTTGTGGTCTCAGCTAGCTGATAAGCTTCTGTGACCCGCGGTGTTTTTTTATTTTTATTTTTTATTTTTAAGTTTGCTTCTGGTTTTCCTGGGATCTGGTTTCTGAAATAAAGTTTGCTTCTGGTTTATTAGATTTGGTGGTGTTCTCATCTTTGTGCGATCCCCCCCCCCCCCCCCGGACCCAACACACGGGATCTGATAGGCATGCATGCATGTCGTACACATACATGCACGGAGGCAAAACATTCATACACACAAAGTAAAAGAAACCTAAAAAGAAAACAATGGTCCCTGTCCAGTCAATCCGTCGGTGCCCTGCGGCCCCCCCGACCTGTGCCCCCAGCTCTGGAGCCCTGTGAGCATCAGCTCAGCCCCACCCATCACTTACATTTTTTTCACAAACAGCACAGCCTTGGTCGTAGGAGAGGGGGTGCTGCTTGGGAACCACTCACAAGTAGCACTTACAAGGGGGTTCTTCCGGGAGCAGGAGAGTTTAGGCTGCTCTGGCGGAACTGAAAGAGAGTTCAGCAGGATGAAGGGGGTGCAAGGCTCCCTGCGCACATCTGATATGTACATCGCTCCCCCCCCCTCCGCCTGAGGGGCTACCTCGTTCACCCTGGAGCCACAGACAGGCACACACTGGCCACCAGATCCCCAGCGAGGGAAGAAAGGAAACGTCACCTCTGGGGCTTCTGTCCCAAACTATGACTCACGACCCCTCTGCTAATCCTCCATCTCCAAAAATATTTACATTACAATTCATAACAGTAACAAAGCTACAGTTATGAAGTAGCAATGGAACAACGTTATGGTGGGGGGGTTCGTGCAGCATGAGGAGCTGTGTTAAAGGGTCTCGGCATTAGGAGGGTTGGGAGCACTGCTCTGTGTTAAAGGGCCTC